GCCAACTGCTGTGTTTCTGCAGCTGCCACTGTTGGTCTGGCCACCACTGCCGGCTCGCACACCCGCGCTCAGCACACCCCCGCACCATCACCCACGTCGCCACAGGCCACTTGCGAGGCAACAGGCACCGAATAACTCAACAGGATACACAGCACAATGCAGAAGCAACAAACATTTCACAAACATTTACTAGCAGGTAGCAACCTGCATGTGCCTGGTTTGTTTGTTAGTTACCCATTTTCTGGAGGGTTTTTTTTCCCCTTCTGCTTTACTACCTATTTTCTGCTGTCACACACTACCAAATCTTGCCTATGATTGTACATACTGTCATCTTCAAAAGGTCTTTCACTCATAGGACTGGCCCAAATTGTTTGATCCATCCCTCCCACTCTTGCAGATTGCCTAAGTCCTTACCAGTCATTTTCCACGGTCCAACCCTAAAGACTGGACCCATTCAGGACAGGCTCCCTAAGCAGCCCCAGCGACAGCAGCGAGGCAGCCAAGAAGCCCCAGAGCACCAGGGGCAAGGCTGAGGAGCACCAGCCTCGTGCATGGCCCACCAAGATAAGCAACAGGATCTCTTGTTTCTCCAGCTGCAGCTCTGAACAGAGGAACTTCCAAAATATTAAGCTATATTTTACATGGGGAGAAAGAGTTCGTACTTCAGCCAGAAATTTGCTCTCAACAGTGCTCGTGGCCTCTATATGGAAGGTGCTGCATCCTTCGCTGAGGCCATCTCGGCTACTGTCAACTTCTGCTGTATGGTAATGGGAAACTGTGAAATTTAGTAAGCCAGTATCATGATTTAAAAAGGAAAAAACAAGACTCTGAGGCTGATGTAAAATCTATTGCAATGGAGCACAACACAACGGAAGACCTTGATCTAAGCTCTAGAGTAAGCCTACTTCAGAAGTATGCCATGCCTCATTACAGCAAAGGCAGTTCATCAACCCGGAGCCAAGAATTAACCAAATTTCCAGGATTACAATCCATCTGAGATGGATGCACAGTTTTATCTACCTTTTCCATTTTTGTTACCATTATCTTCCTATCCTGGTTATTAGCCTCCTCATCGAGGACACAAGCAAGAATACAACTATCACCTGGGGTCAGGTAGCTTGTAAACATTTTACCACTTGGAGCAGTTTTAACAGGTAAGGTATTAACTACATAGCAAATATGAACTGTACTCTTTCACAGTCCAAAAGACAGATTTGAAGAGATGATGAAGCATCTGGAAAATGGAAGAGGGGAAGGGAAAAAAAAAAAAAAACCAAGCAAGTCTCTACAGAGGACTTTAAATAAGATAATTTTTTTCCTCTGTTCCCTTTAATTCAGAATATCAATTTCATGAGCAAAACTCCTTCAGGACATTACACGTAAGCAGAGGTCTACTCTTTAAATATGAATAATATTTATTTGGGCACTCACTAAAACACTGGACAAAAATACTACATAACTTTCTGAAGATTTAAGTGTGCTATTTTAGGACTTCAAAAAGGGCATCAGGAAAAGATACCTTCCAATGAGTTGCAAAAATAAATCCCCCGTGAATCAAACTAATGTTACAAAGGAGTGCAGAACACCAAGAAGTATTAGCTAGGGACAGGATAATTTAGACTGCTAATTATAAAAAGTTAACGTCTTGTTTTCCGTAATAATAAAACTTGACAGTTCTTTCCACGAAAACCCATGGGTTCAATATTAAGTCTCGGCCAGGGCATAAATCCAGCTAGCAGGTTGTACTAGCACTGTTTTGTATTATCCTCAGAAATCTGAGCTTTCATTAAAGCGGTGGGGCCTGGGGGAAGTGTTTCTAACTCATCCGGTAACCACGGGAACACAGACTAAGCTACCAGTTCGATATTTAAGGAACACCCACAGCCCTCGCTGTCCCATGGAGGCATGTCAGTCCCAGCCGACCATCGCGCAGCTCCTCTTGGGGCAGCTGAGGCTGGATTACAGCGCTTCGGAGCGCAGCCGGCCACCGTGCCACTGACTACCCTCACCAGGCCTTCTCGCGCTCTTTACACATCTAATCAGCAGGTTATACACAAGGTGCATGCACGCACGCCATGAGCGGCACTGCTGGCAATAGGTGTGCAGGTAATTAGGGGCTTCTTTCCTCCAGGTCCAGAGGCATCCTGCTTCATCACCCTCTTAAGGGCTCCCTTCCCTCCACGTCATGCAGCACCCACCCATCTGGCCACCCACATCTGGCCAACCATGCACTTTTGCACCGAAGCGTGCCATTATATACTCTGTTTTCACATGTTCAACCCATTGATGGTCCAAGAACTTGCAAGGAAGAACCTGAAAACCTTTAAGACTGCTGCGTCATGACAGTAATGAGAAAATTACTACCTCATAACTCCTTTGCCCTGATAGTGCATGCTTTGAAACCCCACAAACTGCACGGAGGGAGTCAGGAGTGTCAGGAAGGGGTGCCCGAACCCAGAGGAGCACCAGGCCCTCCGAGGTCACAGGGAGCGAGGCGTAGGAGCAGTGCTCAAGGACACTTCTGTAAATGCTGGCAGCTACAAGCAAGAAAACATTGCCAATTGCAGAAAGGTCATGGGATTTTGCTGAAGATTTTGCCAGGTGCATTAGGCTCCTAAAGCCACATTTGCAGACACAATAGGGCCATGCCAGTCTATTCAGCAGCTGAGCAGTGACTATGCTCACCTGGCTGGTGGAAGATGCAAATTCAGGTTCCTTCCTGCATCATGACGGTAACTCACGTTTCCCTACTTATAGTGCGTAAAGGCTGTTAATGGGCAGGTTAAAAAAGACTCACTTCATACAAATGGATTTTCAGAAGACTAGAGAGAGTCTGTCTTTACAGTTCCAAGGCTTCACTGAAGCATTCTTCAAGCCATGATTCCCATCTGTTTTCTCTGGATTTGAACCCAACTTCCGTGCATTTCGGAAGTGAGCGCCCTCATTACATGGGAACAAACCTTTCTGCCCTCTCGCCGAGGCTTGCCGAGTACTCACCCTGGACAGGCTCCACTGCCAGCACGACTCGTCCTGCCTTCACTACCTCTCTAAAACCCACATCAATTGCTCCAGGTCACGTGAGTGGCTCCATTCAAAGAGCATTAACTTTGATTTTATTATCAACACGGTTACATGTTACCTATGTCACTGCTCAAAAGCGAGTAGTGAAATCTTGTAACGAATATGTGCAAACCTTATTTTAAAGAGAGTTAATTATTGATCAAAAGGGAACAGACTGAAGGAGTACCTCAATTTTCCTTGTCTCCTAACCGAGGCAGACATTGTTGGAGATTTAGATGCTTGAAATGGAAACCCAAGCAGGTGTTCAAGGGGGAGAGGAAAAAAAATAGTACAAGATGGGAGGAGCGGTAGAGCTGTACCGTTCAGGGCAGGCCTGTGGCTATTCTGCAGGCAGACTTGGGAAGGCCATTATCACCTCCTCTCTCAAAGGCGCTACAAAGCCACCTGCTAATGAATCCCAGTTATTACAGTAAGGGGAAAAAAGCAGCTCATCTGACCCGTCCGCATAGGTTGCTCCACGCCCTTTCCCCCGTTTCTTGCAGGTACACAAGCGAACTACAGAACATGTCATAAAACGCTGCGACCTGCTTGCCCGGGGGGGAAGCAGCCTCTCCCCCTCGGCGGCGGA